GTTAGCCTTCTCATTTGCTGCCTTGTAGGGGTTCTCTGAATCTCTTGTGTTTGGATGGCCATGAAATGATGAGATGAGAAAAGTTTTTTTGGATGACCTCATGGAATGTTTGTTCCAGTGTGTTCTTAGTCTCCTTTTCTACATCAGGGATACCAAGCAGGCATAAGTTTGGCCTCAATATAATCTCACATCTTTTGAAGGTTGGGCTTTGTCTTTTTAAGCTTCCTTACTATGCTTCTAACAGATTGGGTTAGTTCTGTATTTTGGTCTTCAAGCTCTGAGATTCTTTCTTCTCCTTGGTTAATATTGCTTTCCATGCTTGTCAGTTTATTATTTATTTCATTGACTATATTCTTTATGGCTAGCATCTCTGTAACTAATTTTTTGATGTTTTTGTCTTGCCTTTCTTGGTTCTTATTCATCTACTCCAACCAATCCTTGACCTGCATTTGTGGTCTGCGACCAGTCAGTGTGGGCACACTTCATTGTTTGAGTTCCAAAGTCTGTATTCTCCAGCACTGTCTTTCTAGGGTTCTCTGGGTTACCTGTATTTTTTCATTGATTTCTCTTCATTTGTGATGGATTTTTATTTTCTCTTTACTTCTGTTGTTCAGTGAGAGGGAATAGTTTTCACTTCTGTTTGCTTAACTCCCTATTCTTCCTTAGGTGAAGACTCTGGATTTGTTCGATTTTTTAAGCTGGGTTGAGGAGATGTGCTGCTGTCTTTTTGCAACTTTGAGATTTGAATAAGGTGTATTGAGGAATGCTAAGATTCAAAAGCTGCCTACAGATTACAATGTTCACTGAGTGGGGTGTGAGTACCCTGACACCCACTTCACACTACCTCACAGTATGTCCATGTGATGGGAACATATATATATTTCCTGGGTACAAAAATAGCAAAAACTCAATAACCTGACTTTTAAAAGGGCTAAATACTTGAATAGACACTTCTCCAAAGAATACATACAAGAATAAGTATATGAAAAGGTGCTCAGTGTCACTAATCATCAAGGGAAATGCACATCGAAACCACAATGAGATATTACCTCATGCCTGTCAGATCAAAAAGTCAAAAAATAATGAGTGTTGGCATGGGTGTGGAGAAAATGGAATCCGTATACATTGTTGGTAAGAATGTAAATTGGCACAGGCAATATAGAAAACAATATGGAGTTTCCTCAAAAAATAAAAAAGTATGAACTATCATATGATCCAGCAATCCCCCTTCCAGTATTTTTCCAAAAGAATTGAAACCCAGATCCTTAAGAGATGTTAGCACTCCCATGTTTATTGTAGCACTGTTTACAATAGCCAAATATGGAAGCAACCTAAGCATCTGTCAATGGTGGATGAGTGAATAAAAAAAAGTTATGTAAATAGAGTACCATTCAGCCTTAAAAGAGAAGAAAATCCTGATATTTGTGACAGCATGGGGAGAAGACATTATGCTAAGGGAAATAGCCAGACACAGAAAGACAAATACTGCATAATCTCACTTTCATGTGGAATCTAAAAGAATCAACCTAATAGCAAATAGAAAAGTCATTACCAAGGTCAGGGAGATATGTTAGACAAAGGCTATAAACTAGGAAGTCCTGGAGACCTGACATATAACACAGGGAGTATAGTGAATAATAGTGTATTGTATACTTGAAGTTTGCCAAGAGAGTAGATCCTAAGTATTCTCACCACATAAAGAAAAAAAGGTGGCAACTTTGTGCAGCAATAGATGTGTTAATTAGCTTAATTGTGGTAATCATTTCAAAATGTATTCTTATATCAAAACATCATGCACACCTTAAATATATACAATTTTTATTTGTTGTTTTATACCTTAATAAAGCTGAATGGGAAAAAAAAATCAGAATTTGACTCTTATGAGACTGCTTTAGACATCTGCCAGCCTCTGAATCATGAGTCATGACTAATGGGACAAATTATGCTATTGGCTTTGGCCTGGGTTGTTTGAAGAACCTCTGTGAAATCAGAAAATCGCCCAGACTTCATGAACTGTAGAATTTGTTATATTTTAACAAAATTAGAAGAAGAGGGAATGGGTTCTCAGAACATGAACAAGAAATTCGGATAAAGTCCAAATTTTTTAAAAATGTAAAAAATCACATATCACAAGAATATATGTTTTGTTTCCTCTCCGTCCTCTCCTATGCTGACACTGAACTTTCTCCCTTTCTTTCCATTTTCCAATCTTTTTCTCTTGCCTCTCCCCATCCATAATACTTTGAAAGACAATATTTATTTAAATATTCTAATGGATTTATTAAAATATCATGCAAATCTTTATTTCACAAACACTTCTCTTTTCCAGTTATATACATCAGCACCCTCATGGATAAATATTCATACCCATGTCTACAATTCAGGCAGCTTTACACATACCTACATACATACACATATCCCCTTTGGAGTAAAAAATAACAAGAAAAAAGTACAAATCTGTATTTTGTGTGCTTATTTTCAGGAACCAAATAAATTTCTACAGTGGTCAGATGTTGATTATGTGCACATTTTGGGTATAGGCATTTAAGATATTCTTCTAGCGTTATAAAAATGTTAATTTTGTTAAAGAATAATAAACAGATTGAACATGATACCAATTAAATTTTAACTTTTTAAAGCTAATCTTTTTATTTTGATTCACTTGCAGTTATAAGAAATAATTCAGAAAGATACCATGGACTCTATTTTCTGTTTTCCCTAATGGTAACATCTTGCAAAACTATAGCACAATATTACAGTGAGGATACTGATATTTATGCAGTCAAAATGCTGAATACTTCCATGACCATAAGGATCTCTCATGTTGCCCTCTTAAAGTCACACCCACTCCTTTCTGCCCCCTACTTACCCCCTGACAACTATAAATCATTGTTCCCCATTTCTGTAAATGTATCACTTCATGAATATCATCTAAATGAAATCACACATTATGTTATTTTTTAGAATTGGCTTTTTTCACTCAGGATAATTCTCAGAATGCCTATCTGAGTGAATGCATCCATCTATAGTTTCTTCCTTTTTATTGCTGTGTTGTATTCTATGACCCAGATTTCCCACCACTGGTGTAACCATTCAACTCTTGAAGGATATGTGGGCTGTTTTCAGTTTTGGACCATTATAATCATAACACTACTGTAGGGTTTATGTGAACATAAGTCTTCATTTTCCTGGAATAAAAACCCAGGAGTGCAATTGCTGGGTGGTATGGCAGTTGCATGTTTAATTATTTAGCAAACTGCCAAACTGTTTTCCAAAGTAGAGGCATAATTTTCCATTTGTGAGAGCAGTGTACGAGTGACCCAGGTGCTGGGTGTCCTCACCAAGATCAGGCATTGTCCCTGTTTTCTACTTGAGCCAGTCTGATAGGTGTGCTGTAATATGTGGCTGCTCCTTAGTAAGACCTGCCTCTCATCTGTCAAGGATCTTTTGTGTTTTTATAAACAATACATAATATGAACAAAATTTTAATTTGCATTTCCCTGACAGCTAATGATGCTGAAATCTTTTCACATGACTATTTGCCTGGCCCCCTGCTTTGCCTTCTCTGACCTTTCCCTGGAAAAGGGGCTGAGGCACCCCGTTGCAGGCTCATGAGGATGGAAGTCGAGGCCCGGACTCTGCCTTTGTTGGCATGGGTGGGTGTGGGGATCACAGATTTTCCTGTGGTATTGAGCTTGAGGAAAACAACTATTACCTAAACAGTTTAGATATTTCTAGGCTGCCCCTCTCCTAGTCTCCTTTGGCTAAAAGAATCAGGCTTTTGTAGAGACTTGTACAAATCGGCATTTGTTGGCATTTCTGGGTTGCCAGCTTCTCCAGCTTTATGGCTGGAACATATGAAGCAGAGAGAAAACCCAGGGAACTCACCCTCATGTTGCTTCCTGGTCCCAAATTCTCTAGTCAGTCTGCCTTTTCCTTTTCACCTTTTAGAGCTTATTATGTAGCTTATTTTATTTTAGGTCAAAATCCCAGAGGGGCCTCCAAAATGTTAGATCTGACCGATCTGGTATTGCATGAAAGATGCAGAGAATTGCACAGAAGTTAGATTGGAAAATATAGTTTATTTAGAAAGTAAATTAGAAATAGAGAGAGAGGAGATTCACCTCCTCAAGGTAGGGGAGGGGGCCAAAGTTTAGGGAAACATGTCCCGACCATACCTCAGTGAAACATGTGGCCTGGCCAGAACTTAACAAAAATAATGGCAAATGGCTGCTTGAGGTTGGATGCTTTTAAACCTTCCCTTTGAGGGTAGCAGGTCATTAAGGTGATTAGGTGGTCTTTTTTACATCATCACGAAGGAGACAGGTAAGCACAGGTACTGACATCAGGTGATGGCATGTTGATAGGGTCTATGTCATGAAGGTCAGAAAGAACTGATTATGCTAATGTGTTTACAAAACAAGTTGGGGAAAGGGTTGTAAGACAGTTATCAATAGCTACCTCTGAGAAACCCTTCTGCCCTTGGTTAGTGATTAGAGGGTAAATTAAAGTGAACTGCTAGAAAAACATGACAACTAGGCAGTGTTTAAATGGCTGCTCATTGGCTATATTGACTCCATCTTATGTCCTTTCATTTTACATTTTATTTTTATTTTTTTGAGCTGGAAGCCTCACACTAACCTAGACTGGAGTACAGTGGTACAATCATGGCTCACCACAGCGTTGACCTCCTGGACTCAGGCAATCCTTCAGCATCCCGAGTAGCAGGGACCACAGTTGTGTGGCACCATGCCTGGTTTATTTTTATTTTCTGTAGAGACAAGTCCTTGCTGCTATGTAGGGTGGTCTCAGGTGTTTATTTTATATACCTACAGTATCCAGAGTGTTTGGGTGTAGTTGGAGGAATAGGGAAAGTACTTCTCCATCTTTTCAGAAGAATGAGTCTGAAAGTAGTTTCACATCTGTATAGATATATTTTCTTTGATATGTTTATTAAACATCATTTTAAATACAGTTCTTTTACCTAGATAAAAACCAAGAAAAAATATTTGATAACAAAGAAGGAAAGGAATTCTACTATAGCACGCTACCAAAATGCCAGAGAACAAGAGGTAAATCTTTATTAATCTGACGATTAAAAGTTTTTGAAAAACATGAATGCAAGGTAATGGCAAGCTATTTATTTTATACTTCTTTTACCCTAATTTTTCCCGGGAAAAGTCAATGATTAAAATTTTGTTCATATTATTTACTGTTTATAAAAACACAAAAGATCCTTGACAGATGAGAGGTGGGTCTTATTAAGGAGTTATACTTAAATTTCATTTATATATACCTTAGTCTATAAAACATCTGAGGAAGCTTTACAAAGATGCATTCAGGCTAGCAAGAAGAAATAAAACTAAGAAAAATTAAATGGGACTATAAAGGTATGAAAATACATAGTGCTGAGAGATCAGCTTCTACCATGAAAGCACGAAGATCTCTGCAAACCCATTCACCAGCAAAATTGATTAAAATTACTCTTTTAAAAAAACATAACCATTTAAAGTTTTTGAAATGGTCCTAAAAGGGCATACAGCAAACAACAACAAAAATCTATTCAAGAAAAATCTACTAAATTCACTGAAAACAGTGAGAGCCTGTGGTGTTTCAATCAAGACGCTCCTTGCCTCTCCATCTCCCAGCTCAGTAAGCCAAAAATTCCAGACTTGTGCAGCCAAGAAAATGAGGCTCCCTCTCTCCACAGATACCAGAGGACTATCTTCCCTGGAGGGATAAGACAGCAGTATTTCTTATCTTGCCTCCAGCTACCTGTTGCTGAAGCTAAATTTTAGGTGAGTGCAGACAAGAGGCGGGGGATTCCCTCTCCCCAGACGCCATTCACAGGTTGGAGGCTCTATCACAGAGAATCCTTGGGCCTGGATTGCCCTTGGCATGGCTTGTAAAATGGCAATTTACATGGAGAGTAGCGTGAGAGGACCTAAGGCTTATTATCCTCTCCCTCCACCTGCAGCTCAGCTCCCAAAGCAGAGGCATCACTCAAAGAGAAGAGCTCCGTTATTCCACCCCCTGCTAGAACCAGGGCTTGGCCTTAAGGGAGAGCTAGGCTAGAAAACAGATAGCTCCTAGTCTCTTCCCAAAAGAACTAACTTCTTTTGAACAAAGCACGAAGAAGGTCAAGCTAAAGGACATTCTCCAAACCAGTGCAAGTATAATTTTTTTAAAAAAGGAGGGCGAGATTGGTAGACTCATCGTGGTATAGGTTAAACTGCATACTGGCTAGTTTACTGAAGTTAAGTGGAGAAAGAGACAGCTAGGAAGAGCTCTCCCAGGGTCAGAACAGATCTTAAACATTGACCTCCATCCTTTTAAAGGAGCCTTAATTTGATTGGATTCATCCCAAGAGCAAGTGAGATGCCCTAGAGCATTGTTAAAGACAATAGAGCAATCATCCAGAAAAAAGTGGAATTTACCAGCTGAGTATGGTCAGAGAAAGAGACATTCAAAAAGAATCCTGCCTAAAACACTGTCACCTCAGGGTGACTATGGACATACTCAAGTCGGGATGAGGACCAACATTAGATGTTTAGCACTACAAGAGGGAAATGGATGTTACTAAAATACTCCAACCAGTCACTAAAGAAGCAAATAACAATAACAACCTGGAAGAGGTGGAGGGAGGAAGACCAGTACCCAGAGTTCAATAGAATTGTCTAGTTAGGAAAGGAACCTGACAAACACAAATGAAGTTTGTCATTTAAAATACTATTCCTAGTTGACAAGATCCAAACATTTCATCCAATCAACCCGTAAATATTTGTCACCTGCAGAGACTCAGAAGTTGTTTAAGACCTGATTAGAAGATTTATACTCAAAGAAAAATGTCAGAAGCTGTTTTAAAATATCTCCTATGTTAATAACAATGATCAAAGCACTAGTGGGAAATGTAAAGAGCAGAAGAAAGTCTGTGGGTAGTACTGTCATCTACCACATGTGGATTGAGCTAAAAGAATGTAATTTCCCACAAACTTTTGAAATTAATTTCCTCTCATCTTCAATTAATTCTTTTCTCAACTTTTTAATTCAAAGTAATTATAGATTCACAGGAAGTTGTTAAAAATATATGCAAAAGGTTCCATGCACTCTTCACTCCTCCTCCCCCAATGTTTGCATCTGGCATAAATGTATATCAAATGTATATCGACACCATGAAATTGGCATTGTTACGATCCACAGAGCTTATTCAGATTACCAGATGCATGCACTCATTTGTGCGTGTCTATGTCCATTAAACTATGTAATTTAACCTGTGTCTCTCATGTGACCGTCAGCCGCAATTGCGACACAGTCATCTTATCACCTCAAAGTTCTCTCATGCTACCTCCTTACAGCCATCCTGTTGCCTCCCCACAAACTCTAGCCCTGGTAACCACCAATCTGTTCTCATTCTAAAATTACATTATTTCAAGAATAGTCTACGAATAGGAATTAAAAAATTTTTTCTGGTAAAGAAGCTCACTAATTGATCTCCCTGTGTTAAGTAATTTGCAGGACCCAATAACCCAAGTAGATTTTGTTTGGAGATTTTTTTTATATTTATGTATTGCAAGACATATATTTATTTAGTTCTCATGAATATATTCACATAGTGGTTTTTCATACCTATCCAAGTTATATTCAATGTAAAATATAAATTTATTATATTAAATGCTCATGTATTTGCATCTTTCTTGATTAGAGCTTTAAAAATTGTTCTGAAATCATAATCTCTATTTGATGTTGGATATTTTCAAATGGAAAATAATCATCATTTGGTCAAATGTTTTGAAAAAGTTGCATACATTCTAATTGTGCCCATAAGCTAATAAGAGTTCTTAGTTACAGATTTTGAAATTTCTTTTCTTATTATCTTTGACAAAAAGAGTGAACAGTTTCATTTGAACTGAGGTAAATGGTTGAGGACAACTTAAATTCATGCTCTTAAACTATTATCTTAATTGTTTACTTGTAAGACATCAATACATTCCTAAAAATTGGTAAATTATATTTAAAATTTTTAATTAGCTTTATTTTCCCACAAAGACATTCTCACTCATTGATTTTGAAGACTTTCAGCAAAACAATTATATATTACTGTTGTTAGAAATTGTATATCATGTTCATAAGATCACTGACCTAGTGATATTTTTCTATGGGATAAATATAATAGTTTATTGTGCTTTACAACATCATTTCACTCAAGAGATGAGGACTAAAAATGATACCAACAAATCAAGTCTTATTAAGTGAATTTTCTTCAGCCTGATTTCACCCTTTGTTTTGCCAAATTCTAATGATTACATCATATCGCTATTTTTAGCTTTGTGTAATTTTTATCTAAAATGTTTCTCTCTCTCTTCCTTTAATAATCACATTTTTATACATTTTACTCCCATTTTCATACTGATTATGTCAGGGTTTTTTGCTGACAATTAATTATATCTACAAAGAAGTGAATTTTAGCTTTTAACTCTATTTCATGGTCTACTTTTTTTAAAATCTGGGTGCACATAGTCATGGTCTACTTTTATGAGGAGTTGATATGCATTATACATTGACAAAAATGTTTTCAAATCTTTTTTTTTTTTTGCCTTCTTGAGACCCTTTAAAACATTATTTATAATATCCATACACTACAGATACAGAAACAAAAGTTTCAATGTATTTTAAATGTTTTCATGGTAATAATGATTTGTAGACTAATCAAGGTTGCCAGCTACACTTTTACAGTGTTTTGTATGTCTTTTAGTCAACTGGATCATGTTCAAGGTAGAAAGTGGTATTATATACTTATGTCCTCACTCTGGACCTCTTTGAAGCTTCAAGAAAATATTTTTCATCTTTTATATATAGGCACGGTTTTGTGATCTGTTTATATCTTTTCATGTGATTGTATATATTTACACCCATTTTGCACTCTTTATCTTTCTATATTTTTTCTTAAAAATTTAAATAGGAGAGATTATAAGCATATTATTTTTTTGTCTCTTTCTCATCATACATAAATTCTATGTGATATGGAAAACTTTTAAACCTCCATTAGTGCCAAAATATAATATCAGTATTTTCTTCTACTCATTGATGCAGGAGAAAAGTAGTTCTAAAAGATGTGAGAAGGGTCTAATTTATGAGATTCTTTGGTCATTCTAAGCCTATAATGAGGAAATGAGAAAATCCACCACATCATAAATTATGTAGGAAATATACCTATTTTTATGTTGATAACATAGTATTGTTTTCTTTCTAATTTTGTGCTCCACCAGCTTTATGATAGAGGACATTTACTGCAAAGACAAAAAGAATCAATTTCTCATGTGAAAGGTAATGTTCTGCTTCTACTTTCTCATAAACAATTAATTCATTTACTCAACAAGCAATAATTTTTGTGCCTGCTTTGAGGTTGTCTCTATGCTTGGTGGTAGGGGATATTAAAAAGCATTTGATACCATTTCTTCCCTGCAGGAGCTTGTCCTTTAATCAGGAGAAGAAAAACAAACAAGCCAAGCACAGTATTACAGGTGCAATGCCAAGTAGCCTATTCAGGCTTCCCAGAGAACACAGAGAAAAGAGCGGTCAATTACATTGGAAGGTAGAGAGTTCCATGTGTTTAAGGGATATGCCTAAGATTTTGAAAGATTTCCCAAAAACAGAGAATAGAGACCTTATGTTTTAAAAACCATCTTGTTCCTCTCATTGCATAATTTAATTGAGGATAAACCCAGGAGAAAAATTAATTTACATGTTCACTGGCTTCTACTGAAACCTGTTAAGTCTAATGTGAATCTTTAACTGATTCTAGCATCTATGGTATTTGTTTCCCAGATTGGAGGGCAGTGGCATGATCACGGCTCATCACAGTCTTGAACTCCTGGGTTCAGGCAACCCTCCCTCTTCAGATTCCTCATACACACACACACACACACACACACACACACATTTTTCCATTTAATTTATGATATAGCAAATGATTAAAAATAGAAATGGAGATAAGAATCACACCTAGGAAAATGGAGAATTCTACCATAATTCATAGATAATTCACCTGAAGTTTAAATTAACTACTCTTAATTAACTATTCTTCAATGATAGTGAACAAACAATTCAGCTGCTTTTTATATAACTTTAATAGGAGAGGGGACCCCAAAACACTGGAAGTATTTTCTGGAGGACAGGCCCCTTGTAATACAGGCTTCCCACACGAGGTAAGTGTTCTAGGAACCCGCCAGCATCAGTGTACTAGCTAGCGTTGTTGTGAGAGGCTGTGTTCAGCTTCAGTGAAATTTTTTTTGGAGAGTCTTTCAATGCATTTGCCCATTTCATGATGGTTGACTTACGAGTCAAGCATACATTGCCCATACCATGCTGAGTGTTCAGCAGTTTTATTCACCCAATCTCACTCCAATTGACTTTTTTGTTTACCCGGATGAAAAAAGTCCTCAAAGGGAAACATTTTCCCAATGTGGAAGAGGTGAAACAAAAAATGGCAGAAGCACTAAAGGGCATCAAAATTGACAAGTTCAAAGACTGTTTTGAGCAGTGGAAAAAGCGTCTCAATAGATATATTGCATTAAATGGAGAGTACTTTGAAGGTGACTGAAGTTTTAGACATGTAAGAATAAATACACAATTTTTAATAAATAAATTCTTGGGCTTTTGCCCCCCCGGTATATCATTTTGTTAGAAAAATTAATGCAAAAATTGGAAGTAAAGATAAGGAAAAGAAAGTAAAAATTACACTTTAGAATATTTATTTTAGACCTTTCCCTGTGTCTATATACACACATTCCATGTTAACGAATCACATAATCTTCAGATTACTTTGCAACCTACCTTTTTATTTAAAATTACAGTATATTATAAGCCTCTTTACAGATAAATAAATGGTCAAATGGCAGCAAAGTATTCTATTCTATTAGTGAATCTTAATTTATTTAGCCACGCCCCTTGTTAAACTTTTATTTTGCTTCCAGTTTTTTCCTACTGGAAAAAACAACAATGGAAACCTTAACACTCTCTATTTGTATGTGGTGTTAATTATTTCTTTTTAATAAATTCCTAGAAAAGAAATTACTCGTCCAAGAAATATGAACATTTTAAAATGCAACAAAAATTCACAGGATTTCAATTCACAAGATTTCAATTAATCTTCAATTAATGCTTCTATTAATTTCATTGAGCTGAACTACTGTTTATACTTTATTTACTAGCATTTTTCACTTTGAAAAAAGATGAAAAGTATCAATTATAAATGAGCCAATGAATTATTTTCATGCTACTATGACCTTTTACCATCTTCTCTAGACACAGGACCAAATGAATCAGATAACTATATAGTTGATTATTTCAGAAGACAGTTACCTAATCAAGTATTGGGTGAGTAAAGTAGGAACACAGTAATGAATGGTTCCCTATGATTGGAATGTTTTCTAGCTCTAGAAATACATAAGGGAAAACCATAGAAATTCACTGCATGTCAATTTGTTTTCTTGTAATTTCATCCAGTAAAAATAATAATACCCATATCATTGTCTAATATTTTCATTCCCATCTCTCTGAATCTTAGAGCTGAAAGAAACCTTGAGGGTACCTGATCTCAAACCAGGTAAAGTAGGGACCAAAGTGAGGCCCAAACTTTACCTGTACAATGACCATTTGTATACCTAACTCTGAATTGTACCCCACATCTTTAAAATAAAAATTAAAAAAATAAATTTGACCATTAAAAAACTAAAAAAAGAAAAAAAGCCTTGAGAGGACTCTAGTCTCACTTCCTACTTATTACAGGATCCAGGTTCATCCAGCCTTTGGCTGACTCGTCCTGTTGACATGTAGTTTACTAAATTGCAATGCAATCTATTTCGTTGCTAAGGAGCTATAGCATTAAGTATTTTTATTTTGAGTTACAAACATATGTTCTTAGAAATTTCATCCACCTCCCTTAATCTACCATCTCTAATGACACAAAAGAGTGAAGAAACTTTAAAGGTAAACAATTCTGACCCATTTTCCCTAATGCTCCTTCAATTATAATAAACTCCTCCTCTACATGATAGATCTTAAGTACTTTTGAAAGAGCTGTCATTTATTCCTACAACTTTCCTTTGTTTCTTTCTTTTTTCTCTCTCTAATTTTTATTTTAAAATTGTGGAGTACAATTTAGGGTGAGGTATACAAATATTCATTGTGCAGGTACCCTTGTTGATGAGGTGTGCCCCCTCTTTCCCACGCAGATATCGACTACTGTTAATCCCACCTCCCTACCCCCCCCCACAGTTTCCCACTACTGTCAATCCTTTTCTTACAGTATTACAGTAGTTGTTCAAGGTCCACTTATGAGTGAGAACATGTGATACTCAGCTCTTTGTTTCTGTGAGAGATCACTCAGTATTATAAGCTCTAATTCCATCCAGGTTGCTGCGAAGTTCATGATTTTGTTCTTCTTTATGACTGCATAATATTCCATTGTGTATATGTACCACATTTTTTAATCCAGTCCTCTTCTGATGGGCAGCACGATTGGTTCCATGTTCTTGCTATTGTGAACAATGCTGTGATAAATATACATGTGCAGGTATCTTTTTTATAGAGTGACCTGAGAACCACCTGTTATACACCATGATTCAAGTCCTTTTACCTTTTTATTTTACTCTTTTCTGTCACTATTCTGCTTGAGTAAAACTGAACATAGTACTGCAGATGTCCTCAAGTACACAAATCTTCATTCCGATTTGCTCCTTTCTAGATGTTTTATTTTTTATTCATGCTATCTTATTTTTTATTTATTTTTTTATAGTAACATATTTATTGGGTACTTCCTAATCCTTTATATGTATGAATGCATTTCATCCTCACAACTACTTGGTGTGGTAGCATTCTTTTTATTGTCATTTTGTGGATGAGGACACCAACATACAGTGTGCAAGTAACTAATCTAGGTTGTAGACCTGGGTAATTGGGAGGGCTAAATTTTGTTTTGCTTTGTTTTGTTTTTGTCCTTTTTAATTTTGAAGATGTGGGTCCCCACTTCACCTGTTTTGAGATCAGGTACCCTTATTGATGTTAAGTGCTCTCCCCCTCCCCTGGCAGTGTCCCGCTACTGCCAATCCCTTTCTTATAATATTTTAATATTCAGGGTCCATTTATGAGTGAGAACATGTGGTACTCTGTTCTTTCTTTCTGTGTTAGACCACTGAGTATTATAGACTCTAAATGCATCCAAGTTGCCTTGAAGTTCATAATTTTGTCCTTTATGGCTGAATAATACTCCAGCATGTGTATTTACCACACATTTTTCTTATCCAGTCTACTTTTGATGGGCAGCACAATTGGTTTTATGTTTTTGCTATTGTGAATAATGCTGTGATAAACATGCATATGCAGGTATCTTTTTTGTAGAATGATATGAATTCCTCTGGGTATATTCCTAGAAGGGAGATTGCTGTGTTGTATGGAAGGTCGATTTTTAGATCTTTCAGAAATCACCACATTGTTTTTCACAGAGTGTATTAGTTTATACTCCCACCAACAGTGTAGAAGCAGTCCCTTTTCTTCACATCTTTGCTAGCATGTGTTGGTTTTTGAGTTATTAATGATGGCCATCCTGACTGGAGTTGCATGGTATCTCAGTGTGGTTTTGATTTGCATTTCTTTGATGATTAGTAGACTGAACGTTTTTTCATGTATTTGTTGGCTGCTCATATGTCTTCTTTTTGAGAAGTGTCTACTCATATCTTTTGCCCACTTTTTAATAGGTGTCTCCCTCCCCCTTTGGGCACATTTGAGTTCCTTGTAGATCCTGGATGTTAGGCCTTTGTCAGATATACAGTTGGCAAATATTTTTTTTCCCATTCTGTGGTCTGTTTCTCCACCCTCTTGATGGTTTCTTTTACTTTGCAGAAGCTTTTCAGTTTGATGAGATCCCATTTGTCTATCTTATCTTTTACAGCATGGGCATCTACGGTTTTGATCAGGAATTGATTATCTATTCCAAATTTCATGAGGATGCCTCCTGTGTTTTCTAAGATTCTTATAGTTTTAGGTTTTATGCTTAGGTCTTTGATTCTTTTAGAGGTGATTTTTGTGTATGGTGATAGGTAGGGGTCCTGTTTCAACCTTCTGCGTGTGGTCAGCCAGTTTTGCCAGCACCATTTACTGAACAGGTTTTCCTCTCCCCAGTGGCTGTTGAAGATGAGTCAGTTGAAAAATAAAAGTTTTGCTTCTGGAATCTCTATGTTCCATTGATCTATATCCCTGTTCTTGTACCAATACCAGGCTGTTTTGATTATTGTAATCTTATAGCAAAGTTTCGAGTCTGGAAGTGTGATACTGTTTGCTTTGTTTCTTTTGCTGAGGATTGTTTTGACTATTCACGGTCTTTTATGTTTCCATATGAATGATGAGAAGAATGATGTTGGCAATTTAATGGGCACTGCACTGAATCTGTAGATTGCCTTTGGTAGGATAGGCATCTTAACAATCTTGATTCTTCCAATCCATGAGCATGGAATATATTTCAATTTGTTTGTGTCTTCTTTGATTTCTTTGAGCAGTGTTTTGTAGTTTTCATTGTAAAGATCTTTCACTTCTCTGGTTAAAAAGATGCTGAGTTATCTCACTTTTTGTGTGGCTATTTTGAATGGGATTGTGCTTTTTATTTGGTTCTCTGCCTGTTGTTGGCGTATAAAAATGTGACTGTCTTTTGCACATTTATTTGGTACCCTGAGATTTTTCCAATGTCCTTTATCAGTGCAAGGAGGCTTTCGACAGATCTCTTGAGTTTTCAAAGTATAGGATCATATCGTCCGCAAAGAGGGATAATTTGACTTCCTTTTTCCTGTTTGGAGGAGGGTTAAATTTTAAACCGGGTAATCTTGCCCCAGAATCCTCACTCTTACCCATTTTTCTTTTCTAGGGCCTTTGTAGATATCAATGTACCCTAGTACAGTATGACAATCCAAGCCCACAATGATGGCCCTGTGACACCAAGAATATATAGTTATTTTTCAGAGAGCAGAAAGAATTTTCTCAAAACCTATCAAAAAATAATGGTACTTCAAGAGGCAAGCTTCTTTTATCTGGAAAATTAGCTTATATAGGACACTGTAGCAATGAATTGTTATTGTACTATGGCCATTCGCTTTTTCCTCGGGTTTATTTAGTACCTGAGTCATACCACAACTTTAAATTTAAATTTTTATAAGATGCAGGTACATACAACTAATATATAACAGAACTTGTTTGTGAAAAAAATGAAATTAAGTGTTCATGAACAAAAGGAATTAAAATATAAAAATACAAAATATGAACTTTGGTTTTTAACATATGCTCCATCAAGTTTAAGACACTTTGTAAGTGATGATATCAGTCATTTAGTCTACTCCTAAAGAAATGAGGATCCTGGGAATTTAGCCATGTCAATGCAGTCTATTTTTACATTATTAACTAAAGAAAAAAAGGAATGCCTTTTAAACTTTTTTTTAAGATTGGGAAACAAAAAGAAGTCAGAAGGAGCTAAATCAGGAATGTGAAATGGGCACCTAGTGACTTTTCATTAAAACTCTCACAATAGCTGGACGCAGTGGCTCATGCCTGTGATCCTAGCACTTTGGGAAGAGAAGACAAGACAGTTGCCTGAGCCCACAGGTTTGAGACCAACCCAGGCAACAGTGAGACCTTATCTCTACAATGAATCAAAAAATTAGCTGCGTGTGGTGGCACATGCCTGTGGTTCCAGCTACTTGGAAAGCTGAGGTGGAAAGATTGTCTGAATCCAGTGGGTAAAGGCTGTGAGCGTGCCACTCTGGGTGACAGAGTGAGACTCTGACTCAAAAAAACAAACAAAAAAACCCTCACAAAATTGTCCTTCTTTGATGAGAGGAATGAGCAGAGACACTGTTGTGGTGGACTCTCTGGTGAAGCTTTCCTGGGTGTTTTTTTTTTTTATTTTGTTTTTGCTAAAGCTTTGCATACCATTTTAGATTGTGTTTGTTTTTTGAAAATTATCCTAAGCCGGGCTCAGTGACTCAGCCTGTAATCCCGCTCCTTTGGGAGGCTGAGATGAATGGATTGCCTGAGCCCGCGGGTTCGAGACCCGCCTGGGCAACTTGGCAAACCGTCATCTCTACAATAAATAAAAAATTAGCCGGGAGTGGTAGCGTGCACCTGTAGTTCCAGCTACTTGGAAGGCTGAGGCGGAAGGATCACCGGAGCCTAGCGGACACTGCACTCCAGTCTGTTGACAGAGTGAGACTCCAACTCAAAAAAAAAAGAAAGAAAATTATCCTAAAACATTGACACACACTGGATTTACATATACTCAAGCCTATAACATTTTGTTTTCATAGTATTCTGCTAAATTATGTCTCCTCAATTCT